GTAAAAATAAAATTTTATAGTTCACCATCTAATTTCCTCTTTTCTTTTTGATTTATGTACAACTCACTATCCTTCATACGCTCAGAACGTGAAACGGAAAAAGCCTATTTGATTTTTTTTTACAATTTTTTACTTAAATAAAATTACATTGTGTTATTCTTAATTATTGTATTCTTTATCACGGCATTTAACAAATTTATTTAACCTGAAGTGACTCCTATGAGTATGAAAATACGGTAAGTTTTATGATATCCTGGTAGCTTAACATTGCTTATTTACTCTTGATGTAATTTTTTTTCATTTAACAATAGAATAAATATTATTTGAAGATGTGCAGAACGTTTGTTTAAATAATTACAGTTAATAATTTTTACTTTTCTTTTCATCCGAAACTTTTCAATTGTTTTTTTAAAACTTTAAATTTTAATCCTAAAAGCTCCGTAGATTTTCAAAATAGGTGCAACCATTACTTTTAAACCTACTTATTAGATATTTAATGAGTAAATATTAGTAAAATTCCTATTTTTATTTCTATTCTCTACTTTCGGTTTATTTGCTTCATTTTGTCCAACAATATTAACCAATAATATTTGACCAATAATATTTGAAGCAAATAAAATTTCGAATGAATTCTCAGATAACTTTGTAACAACCGAAATAAAAATTTATTTCTGTTTTTATTGAATGTCAGGTCACGTTCATACACCAACGAAGTTATAAGAAGGAATATCCTCAAATATATCGTTCTCCTTGACCTTCTAGATTTGTTCTTTTATCGTTGAAATCACCGTGAAATCGAATTCGTAGAAAATAGTGCCCCTAGGGTTAACTCCAAGAATACCCACGCATACCACCATCTATAACGAAATCTAAAGCTTCTTATCTTACACTTCACTGTTTGTAAGTCCAACAATATATTTCTTTAAGCTCCAAAATAAATCTTTTTCGTATATTATAGTTGTTTGTGGTCATACTGTTTTCCTTGTTTCTAATAAGTTGAACAAAAAGTTTAGAAAGATATATTTCTGCATTATGATTCCAAAAAAATTGACTTGATTGTACTCTACACTGTCAGAAATGTTGTGGAAAAATGGTCAAATAACAATTTAATTGAAAGTAATTTTACCATATTCAAACAAAACAGTCAAATAACCATAGATATGATGGTATATAAACTATTAAGTGTGAGTAAAACCGTTTATTAACTGCTTTCACTTAATACAGTTAAACAACCAGAATTTTAACGCACCATCTTGGACCACCTAATGAAGCTACTTTGATCCTAGCAGAAGGTATTATATAGATATTATAGATGAGAGTGCTTATCTGTCAACATCATGAACGATAAAATAGGAGTTTGAGTCTTGTCGTTGACACATTATCTGAAATTTTGCGGAAAAATGGTCAAATTTATTTAAGTGTAATTTACTATATTCAAACAAAACAGGGAAATAACCATAGATAAAATGGTATCCAAACTGTAAAGTGTGAGAAAAACAGTTGATTTACAGCTTTCACCTAATACAGTTATACAGTCAGAGTTTTACGGCTCCAAATAGGCCCAACTAATGAAGTTACTTTGATTCTTGCCGAAGGAAATATATTGTAGCCGAGAGGGCTAATCCGTCAACATCATGACCGATAGAACAGGGGTTCGAGTCTTGTCATTGGCACCATAATATTTTCGCCATTCCCTATTAACACATGTAGAGTTTTCAATGTCCATTAATGTCCACCTAATGAAAAGCCTAGCTCCAGTGTTCAGTTAGTTTCCTTTTTTAAGGAAACCTTGTTAGTTGTAAATGGTTAAAAATCTGTGCTGCATTCACAGTTTTTTTAAACATACTAGTTGTAAATGTTTTCAAAACCGTAAGGGTAAACAGTGTTCTGTACCGTAAACTTTGCGGTTAATTGGCTGGAAAAACAGTTGATGGTGATTTTACCGGAATTTTAGAATGAAAATTCTCACAATGTAGTAGATAGGGAAGAGGGGGGCACATGTGAACAGGGGGCACATGTGAACATGGTATGTTTTCCCAATATGATTTGAAATAAAAAGTCTCGAAAAATTTTCAATTGATGGCAGTACTAGTCCTACCTCTCTGAAAAACTTTCAGAACAATGAGACATTTTGTTGGTCTATTCTGACAATTTCTTTGTATCAGCTGGTGTTGCATATATTATAATCGCTCGCTTCTCCAAGTGAAAGCATAATATAAATCAACTAATAAACTAAAATTAACTATTGCAGATCATTATATGAACATTCAGGTAAGTTTATGACAATTATTCTTTTTTTTTACTCAATTAAAAGTTCTTTATTTTTCAAGTTAGGTTTAAGAAGGATGATGGGGGCACTTGTGAACAAAACATCTGGGGCAGATGTGAACAGTTCACAAGTGCCCCTACATAGTATTAAGATTATTATCCTCATGATATTATAAGTTTAAAAAATATGTATGCATTTAAAATTATCATTATTTAATTTTCCATAATTAATTTATTAATTTTTCCTTTAAAAAAATTTTTTTTTATTAAATGGTTGATCGCGCATCACGCATATTAACTGATACACCTGAGAAAATAGAATTGTTAAAGCTACAAATGAAAAGATAGAAAAAAAAAAAAAAAAAGCATGAAAGAGTATTAGAGAAGAAAGAAAAAGGCCCATTACAACACCCGTGGAACATGAAGTTGCGAAAAACCCAATTACGGATAAATTATTGTACAGCTGAAAAATTATTTTCTTATTGACAGTACTGTTGTACAATTTAAATTCACATAGTAAGCTACAACCCCCTCAGTATAATGCGTATCTATATCTGTTATATTAAAGATTTTTTTTCTTTGAAATATGATGATTGCTTTGTGTTTTTAATCTTGTTCATATGTGCCCCAGGCCTGTTCACATGTGCCCCCAATAGGGGCACATGTGAACAATTGAAGTCATTTTTCTAAAATATTATAAAGTAAAGAAATATTTTATTGAAAAATCTCAAAAAATTCCACAAGACAAAGAAAATACTATTTAAACATATGGACTTTTTTACTATGAAAAATTGATGATATTTTTCGAAAAGTGAAGAAATAAAAAAATTTGTTCACATGTGCCCCCCTCTCCCCTAGACCAAAAACAATGTTCGCGATAAGAAATACAGAAAAAAGTTTGCTGAAAACACTTTTTAAAAAATTCTATGATTTTTTCCTAACGGTTTTACCAAAATTATAAAATTTGTTTTTAATAAAGCAGATGTGGTCAAATTTATGTAGATGGATAAAAAAAAAATCTAAATTGAAAAGACCCCCAAAACTATGGATTTTGGGAAGGTCATGAAAGATTTTAGTTCTTGTAGGAGGCTCTCTTTCTTCAGGGGGAGAACATATTTTCTTCATATATAATAGATAATTCAAAAAGATAATTTTTTATGCATGTCAAGCCTCCATCAATTATTCTCCCACATTTTACTCCGTAGAAGTATTGAGAAAAACGTCATTTAATTGTTATAGTCATTATTCCTATACTCATAACAATACTTTGATTCATTACAACAAGCACTTTTTATATTTAAATAACCGTCGTTGAACAACCGACCCTAGTTTTTGGGTTTACTACTACTAATGTACAACTACACAGCATTGTAATTTTGAAAACAATTCAGAAGACAAGGGAACTCCTGGATCAAGTATAGGGAGAAATCTGCCTTCGAGAGGTAATTTGCCGTTTTAGATGGAACTAACTCACATTTGCGTTATACGGAGAGAAAAACCATTAAAAACACCCACTGTCAGACTAACGGCATAAGAAAAGCCGTAATCCGCCTACTACGGAGAGTATTTTACGTCAGTGCTATGGTAGGTGGTTTCCGGGTGAGGAATTTGTATCGACCAGCCATAGCTAGGATTCGAGCCCGGTTCACCTAATTGGAAAGGGAAGGTTCTATCCATTGAGCCACCACAGCTTCTTACTGACAGTTGCAGTTATGAAATTTGCAGGATATGTTCGGTAGTTTTCAAGTATGCCTTTAGAAATTTTCGATTTTTGACTAAAAAAGGTTATTTTATTATATTTTATTTTTATAACCGTCGTTGAACAACAGATCCAATTTTGGGTTTAAGAATACTAATATTCAACTCCGTAGCCTTGTAATTTGTAACCAACCCAGAAGACAGGGAAACTCCTGGATCAGTACCCCCACAGGTATATGTTATGGGAACATGGAGGATTTGTGACTCGACAGATTTAACGCGCATCAGTCACCATTTCCTACACAGAGAGTCTTTAGCCTATGGCGATCGGACCCCCGACCTCTCGAACAAGGGCCCAGTGTCCTACCAATCAGGTTACCTCAGACCTGAAAGAAATTTATTTGCCAAAAATTGGATTATGAATGTTTTCAAAGGAAAAGTATATTTCTCGGAAAAAAATTGGTAGCAAAATGTAAATTAATGTTCAGCATTTAAAAACATGAAAGTACAAAAAAAGATAATTATCCTAAATAATTTTTCTGAGAAATCACGATTTTTGAACTCCATTATCTGTAATATTGACTGTCTGGATAAACTTTTTAATTGAAAGTACGTTTTTTTTCTTTTTGATTGAAAAACAGCATTCTTGATATTATGAAGAAATTTCATAATACAAGTTCTTTAATTTATTTCACATATTCTTTTTATTTTGCTTATTATTAGTTATATATTTTATGTAAGAAAAATTTAAAAAACACTGTGCATTCCTTTTTTATATATTTCTATCTTGTTCATTGTTTAGAACAAATAGATTTCAAATTATTACCAACAATACTCTGGAAAATTTAATCGAAATGTATATTATCAGACATTGTTGAATGGTTCTTAATAAAACTTATTTCCCAAAAAAGCCATTGTTATACCAAGCAACAATATATAAAATTATTTTCGATATCACATTTTTTAGTCATTCTTATTGAAGCCATTTTGAATGAATAACGTCTTTTTGGCAAATTGCTTTAAACTTTGCTAAAATGAGTGAATTATATCGCTTTGCTTTGATTAATTATTGGCAAAAACAGCTTAGAGAACATCCGAGACCTTTTCGTAAGTGTTAAAGACGTGATTTTACAGATTTTGTAATTTTAAACTTGTTTTAAAAATTTACTGGAACATCGTTAAGATGAATATAAAACTTATTGAAAATAACTAGCATGTGGTAAATTACAGTATTCATATGATTAATTTTTTGTACGAAAGACCTCTAAATTATTAAATCTAAAATTTATTTTAATTTCTGCTATTATTTGTAAAAGTTTCAAATCAGTTAATCTAATAGATTTAGTAAATATTAGATTGCTTTTTTATAATTAAAAATACCAAAATATATTTTTGCATGTAATCAGTACGTCAGAACAAATATATAAAAGAGAATCCCGCGTCTCATCTGCGTCAAAGCATTAATTAAATAATGAAAACTTTTGGAGAATGTCCATTTTAACACAAAATTAAAATATTCAAACGAAAATAGAGAATGAAGTTTATGAACAAAGAGCATTTAAAATATTTTTATGTAGCTAAATCAATAATCAAATCAGTAATAACCTGTCTTAAATTCGAATTTTGGTTTGAAAAAATTACGATAAGTTTCCCCCTCTTTATTTTTTATGTATATATTTTTGAGAAAACAAGTAAAGCGACTTAAAACTGAGATTTTCTAATCTTAAGACATCGTGAGAACAATAATATGATAGGGGACAATTTCATATACAGTAAAAGCTCCAAGTTGCAGTGCGAAATCCAAGATGCATCGTTTGCTTGTCTCTGACCCGAATTTTGTTTAAAACTCTTAGTCTTTAAAATTAATTTATTTGCGGAAAATAAAACCAAATTTTCTTCTTATTAGAAATTAATTTAGTTAATGGGAACTGTTCAATAATGATATTTATAAAAATTATAGTCTGCTTAACTAAAGAACTCCCCTCATCAGTCGTCTGGAACATTATGAGTAACTATGGTTACGAGATAGTACTATTTCAAGTAGGAATATGGGATAAAAAATTAAGGCCAATTTTGATAGGAGTCGGCAAAGGAAATATCGGAAACTCCACCCCTTAAAATGGGTTTTTTCATGTTTCCTTAGCATGAAACACCCCAAAAACTCTGTCTGCTGGAGTTTTTTAAGTTTGGCATGTTGCACATAACAGGATTTCTTTAAAAAATCATGTTTTTATTTTCTTAAAGAAAAATCTCATTTCAATTATTTTCAATTGCTATATTTTTATAATTTTGGAAATATATTGAAACCAAAACAAATTTATAAGGATAACTCAAACGAAAGATAGACAAGTGTTATGAAAAAATACGCAGAAACGATGCCAGAGTTAATATTGATGTTTTTAAAAGAAGGAAAAAGAAGTGTGCCGTAAACTGCTAAGGAGTTAATAAAAGTATTTAACGTGAATGTCAAGTCGAACTTAGAAAGATGCACCCAGAAGGAAAAAATTCGAAGTATATTTAAAGAGAGAAAGCGACAACTTGTAGAGAGAAAAAGGAATAGTATCATTTTTGCACTAAGTGATGCGAAGCTGTCACGAATCATAAGTCTTTCAGTTCCTCTAATCATTTCAGCAACTGTGGCAATAGACTTATTTGCAGACTATCAAGGTTTCTTCTTGTTTGATTCTTGACATATCCGATCATACTCTTACGCTCTTCAAAAAAGTTTATACACTGTTTACAGCAATATTTCCTTGGCAGTGTTTGCCATAGACAAAAAACATGGCATAATAATATGCGTCTGCATTACAATAATTTTTTTTCAATGAAACTATCACTACTATTCTTGGTTTTTTCCTTTGTCCATCCTTCTTAGAACTACTTTACATTCATTCTTAAGTTCCCAGGTGACTGCCAAATTAGTTAAATGCAATCTATGTTTTGCATCTCCTACATCGATTTATAGCCTTAAGGGGGTGATGCTATCACTGCGACATTTCTGACTCTATCTACTTTTAATTTGGGCATTCTTTACATTTTTAAACAAGTTAAGTTAAAATATAATTTGATTTGTCATTTCAGCTAGTGAAGAGGTTGAGGAAAGATATACGAGCTCTAGTTCTTCTGGAACTGATAGTGGGTATGTAAAAATATATATACTTTCTAAAAAAATTATTCAAAATGCAATTTTGTGATATAAATATTTTCACAGAAAAGCAGTCTTATGATAAATTTATTTGGCATTCAAAACATTGTTACAAATTAAATAACTAGTCAAAAAATTTATAGAAAGTGTTATCGATTAATATATTCCAATGTAAACGCTATGTATCTCGTGTAAATTGATGCTCCGCAAAGAAATGATGCAGTACAAAATCTAGTTTTAAACAATTTTTTTGATTAAAAATGCAGATCAATTCAAAAATATAAATAATTATTTTTCAGAAATTTTAATGTTTAAAATTATTCAAAACATAACACTCAGAAATGATTCCATGAGATATTTGAACGGATGTTGCTTAATTTTGCATCACTGATTTCAAATCTGATATCGGTTTCTCTCTACAATCAAGAGTTTTTATGTAATTCAAAAATAAATTCAGAATTTTTTAATCACCGAAGTGATTACTAAGTGCTTCTTCCACTTCTCTGCCACGTAGGAAGAGAATGATGATATATTTCAGTTGAAGATGCCATACTTTACTATCACATGTTTGTCTAAAATGCTATTTTTGAAGGTACAGACAAGTGTGAATGTAAGTGTATAAACCTATAAGTTCTCACGGATTTTCACGGATTTGTCTATCAAAGGACTATAAGAACATATTATCGACCTTATGTGGCACCGTTCCTTGTGTTTGAGAGTCCGGATTGCTTGGCCTTAATATTCTGTTCAGGGGTTGCTGTTACCATGGAGTGTGATCATAAATTTTGGAAGACCTGAATCGCGACATTCATTACCTAGACTTGCACTGTACATTCAGACAAAAAATAAAATAAAAATATCATTTTGAAAAAGTAATACAGTGATTTTCCGGTCAAAACCGTTTTCAGATTGGAAATTACTATTCCCGAATTAGGCAAGATTAGCGCTTGTATAAATTCAAAAAAAAAAAATTTTCCTGAAGCAGTTCAATTTACACTTCGAATTTAAAATAACTCTGTGAAATTTAAATATCTAACATAGAATATTAGAAGGAAAGTAAATGTCAGTTCATGACATTTAAATTATAGCAGATGAAATATACTTCACATTTTTTAAATAAAATAATGTAAAAACGAAAGAAATCTTAGTCTATATTATACATTTTAAAGCCCTTAAATGATAGCGGAAGAAACACATTTTACATTATTCCGACGAAAGTGAAGTTAAAACGAAAGCAATCTTAGCGTTTATCAATCTTAGTGTTACTTTAACAATCTTAGTGTTACTTTAAAATCTTCAAAAATTATCGAATGAAATATACTTTAAACTATTTTGAAAATGAGTTATTATATTAAACTGAATAAAACACTAAAGTTTTTCTGCATTTATAATTATAGTGAAGGAGCAGACAATTTTGATGATGAAAAAGGATCAGGATCTATTGGTTATCATCCATTTATGGACGAACCTTTTACATCAGAGGGTTCCAAAAAGCCTAATCTTGATCCTAATAGGTAATTTTATTTAATATCCTTTTTGTATTCAGTTCGTAATATATATTTGAAAAAGAAAATGACTAGCAATAATATTTGAAAAGACCAGCCAACAGAACAAGTTATACAGAATTGACAGTGTTATCTAACCCATCAAAAGTTTGAAACAACAACTCAAGACTATAAACCAAATTGCGAAATGGAAGGTTTGAAACCGGTTTACAAAATCGGTTCGAGAAACCTATTGCCAAGTGCGGCACTAAAAGATGCATTGGTGATTTTCATCTAACATCTAAACTTTGAATTGCTCTCCTGGTCACACTATCGGGACCATATTTCTCAAATTGCGGCTGCTCCCTATATTTTAGGATAGGAAATTTGAATCCATCGAATAAACGATATGTTTATTTTGAGAAAATACATTTTTGTGTCTGATTTTGCAACTTAAAATATAGTCTGCACTAATTAGCAGGTTTGAGGTCACCCTCTCGAACGATTAAGAATGATTTTGTTCTGTGGATGAAAAGTTATTCAAGGTGTTTCGTTTCTATATCCCCCCCCCCTCTCTCTCTCTCTTTCTCACTCTATTTATTTTTATTGTTTTATTTTCTTCTTTTTTTTGCGCTTTAAACCAACTGGACTATTTATTAAGAGAAAAATTATCAATTTAAATTAAAAGGAAAAAAATTCTTTATTAAAAATTTACATTTTAAAACATTGGAATGAATGCAAAAAAAAACATTTAACAATAATTTAAATATGAGTTTCAAGTAAAACCTGATGTGAAAAAAAAAATTTGCTGATGTTTTTCTCCTATAATTTTAGTGATGATTCGTCTGACTCAGATAATGAAACTGACGCAGAAAGCCGCACTTATGAGGCATTTGTGGATGAACAGAATCAAATAAATGGTTCTGAGGATTGTGATTCTGCTATGATCAGGTAATTTTTGATATTTTTGGCTTTTATTCTTATCGTAATATTTAATTAAATAGTTTCATAAGTATTTATATAATTTTCTGAGTAGAATATAAGTTACAAGAAAAGCCTGATGGCAAAAAAATTTTTTTGATGTTTTTCTCTTATACTTTTAGTGAGGAATTGTCTGCGTCAGATGAGGAAACTGAAACAGCAGACAACACTTATGAGATAGTTGTGGATGAACAGAATCAAATAAATGGTTCTGAAGAAAGTGATTCTGCTATAACTAGGTAACTTTTTTATATTTTTGGCTCTTATTCTTATCGTAATATTCAATTAAGCAATATTATAAGTATTTATATAATTTTCTAAGTAGAATATAAGTTACAAGAAAAACCTGATGAGAAAAAAAATATGTTGTTGTTTTTCTCTTATAATTTTAGTGAGGAATTGTCTGACTCAGATGAGGAAACTGAAGCAGCAGAAAACACTTATGAGGTAGTCGTGGAGGAACAGAATCAAATAAATGGTTCTGAGGAAAGTGATTCTGCTATGACTAGGTAACTTTTTTATATTTTTGGCACTTATTCTTATCGTAATATTTAATTAAATAGTTTTATTAGTATTTATATAATTTTCTGAGTTTCTCATTTATCTGATTGTTTTATTTGTGAACATTATATGAATACATATGAATCAACTCAGTATGAATTTAAAATAATTTTCACAAAGCAAAAACGTACATGAATGATTTTAATTGATTTATTTTTTACGAAAAAAAAACAGAATTCGTATTATATTTACTATTATTACTATTACTTATTATGGTTTGACAACATTTAATAGTACTGTTTTCTTAAAAAAATCCCCATTTTTCACTTAGTTCACATTTCTAAAGTGAATAGATAAGAATAGGATTCAACAAAAACAAATTTTTTGCGATGTCTCAAAAAAATTACTTTTAAGTATGTAGATAAGAGCATCTAAACGTTTAACGTATTTTCATAGCTTGCTATAAGACAAAATTCTTCAATTTCAATTCCTTAGTTTTACGGTAGGAAAACGTACATGAGTGATTTTAATTAGATTATTTCTTATGAAAACAAAAAAAATTCAATACATTTACTATTATTGTTATCTATTATAGTTTAAATATAGCTTGTATTACTGTTTAAAAATGTCATTTTCTCTTAATTCAAATTTCTAAGTTTGATAGATAAAAATTTTATTCAACAAAAAATAAGTTTTTGTGAAGTTTTTTTAAAAAAATATTAAAACTTTCTTTTAATTCTAGAGTATACCGATGTTTCACGAATTTTAGTAGCTTGTTTTACAGCGAAGTTTTTTTTAAATAAAATGCAATGCTAAAGCTCAATATTAAAAAATTTAAAAAAGAATAATCTTTCTTTTTAATTAAGATGATAAAACATTTGAATAAATGCTAGCGAAATCCACTTTAACTTTTTTTAAATATAATTTGCAACAAAATCTTGATTAAAAAAAGGACACTTTTTGTTTTTTCTCTATAATTTCCGTGATATAATGTCTGACACGGAGGTTGAAATTAAAACAGAACATGAAACTACTCAGGCATTTGTGGATTGTCAAAATCAAACAAATGGTTCGAATGATTCTTATCCTACTGTGAGGAGGTTGTTTTTAAAAATATTTAACTTATTATTTTCAAATTTTTATTTAAACAATATTCAATATTAATTTTAACAGTATTCAATATAATATTCATTTGATTACCTTTGATTAGTCTAAATTTAATGAAAACGCAAAAAACCACACGGCAATTTGAATTAAGAGAATCAACGAAAGACAAGAATCAACGAAAATAAACGAAACAAGAATCAACGAAAATAAAAATGTGTATGAAATATTCCAATTGGTTTTATTTCATACAAAGAGTATCTTATTAAATTCATTATTATGATTTACACACACGTTGTAGCTTTAAAATACCGCTTTCTATTTAATTCTCAGTTTTAATTTCTTTCTATTTATTCATTGAATATAACGAAAAATAGTGTGGAATAAAACAACAAGTTTTTATAAAATTCAAAAAACTATTTTTAAGAAAAAGGATAGAACTCTTACTTCATTATTCGATAAATTATTATTTGAAAAATAGTTTTTAAATAGCAAAATACTATAAAAATTATTGATATTAAAATTTAAAAGAATAAAAATTGTGTCACAACCGAAATTGAAAATCATCAGAAGAAATCGGATTAAGTATTAATTTTTAGTAAAACGATAAAAAAAAAATATTGAACTTAACAGCCTTAACATAAACTTACATTAGACATGAATTTACCATCATATATTTTGAATACGAGTTACAAAATCAAAATGATGAAAAAACTTTGCTATCTTTAGTTATTTATACATAAAGATAATTTTCTTTACACACTTTTAGCTCTGAAACTCATGATGTAGTTAATGAAATAAAACAGGTTGAGGCAACTTTAGAGGAACCAAAGGAAATAACAGGTGCCATTAATATCGGCACTACTATAAAGAGGTAATTTAAACTAATATTATAGCATTATTTCCATCATAATTACAAATTTTATGTGTAAATATTGAATAATCAATATCATTAATTATAACAAAATTTTTGAATTACTGTTAATTAACTTATTTTTTCTTATAAATAAATCGAATTTTCTATATGTTTTGATAATTCTTATTATGCATGCAGTTTTTCACTCCGAAATTAATTCAAACCCTTTCTGTTTCTTTTTCATTGAGTTGCAAACTCAAACTAATCAACACTGTCAGGACTTTGGTATTTACACTTCAGAAATGTATATAATAAGTTTAAATTTACTTTATATTTTGAAAATATATATTTTGATAAATTTATTAATTTACAAAGTTAAAACATATATTTATTTTTCTTCTTTTTTACATTTTATAAAATTTTAATAAATGAGCAACCAAAAAGTATATGCTTCTAAATAAAGATTATGGGATTTAATTACTCATCGGTATAAAAAAAAAGAAATAGTATCCAATTTTGAATAACTAATTTCACTTGATATAATTCGGAAAGTATTTCAATGATATTTTAAACAGGAGTAAAAGCAATAAACTAATGAAAAAACACCATTGTAAGCTATTACGTTTGAATGAATGAAGAAAATGTTTGAAAAAACGGTTTCGTGAGCTGAAAATATTTACATACTGTAAATTTGACTGATTTTCATTAAACAAAATAAGAAAACTTATAATAAGTAGTTATATTAAAATAAGTATTAAAAGTATTAAAATAAAATAAGTAGGAATATTGTACAATTTATATTTATTAATTTCTGAAAGCACTTTACACCAGGGCTGACAAAATAGAACAATCAAGACTAACCCAAGAAAATTTATATTTTTTCCCTTTAATTTCAGCGATGATGGTTGCCCTCATACCTATATTATTGATGGGAGAGAAAAGAAGCTTTTAGCTAAGTCTTCCAAAGTGAAGAAAAACTTGGCGAGAGAAGAAAGCTTTGAAGAGCGCTTGGCGCGAAAGAAAAAGAAGGGCTTTCGCTCCTTCATAAGACAGCTATTTACTGGCTGTTATAAGCGAATGTGAATTATATGACTATGATTATCCTAGATGGAGTCATCACCAGACCTAGACAATAAATGCACGACTTTAACAGCTTTGACAACTTTAACAGATTTAACTATGGCTTTGCTGAGTTATTAAGAACTTAGCTATTTCATAATGAACTTTATGGAGTCATCATGAAATTTATTGAGACATAATGAACTTTTCTTAGTCATTATGAACTTTGATGAGTTGCCAAAAACCCTTTTTAAGTCATTATGAACTTTTCCGAGTCATTTTGAACTTTGATGAGTTGATAAGCTTGATTAAGTCATTATGAACTTTTATAAGTCATTATGAACTTTGATGCGTCTCCAAAAATCCTTTTTAAGTCATTATGAACTTTTATATAATTTTCTAAGTNTACAAACCTTATAAAGTCATTATGAACTTTTCCGAGTCATTTTGAACTTTGACGAGTAACTATAAACCTGATTAAGTCATTATGAACTTTTCTAAGTCATTATGAACTTTTTTGACTCATGATAAACTTTACTGGGTCGATATGAACGTTGCTATTATAAACACTGTGGTGTTATTATGTACCAAAATTTGATTTATATTATTGTTTGACCTTTAATAAAATATTGTGTTGTCAAAAAAAAAGACAAAAAAAATTAAAATGGTTTGACTTATTTGAAATTAGATTAAGAACACATATCTTTAACAACATAGTCTAATACGCAGAAAAATCTTATATTCTTATATTCTATATTACATACCCTCAAACACTTCAACTTTAGATTACGTCTTACTTAATTTTTTTAAGATATTAAGTATTTTAATTAACAGTTGAAATACCATAATTCGTTTTCGTTACCGAATCATAATCCGTATTTTTAGATTCTTTATCAAAAGTGAAGAAAGAAAAGTACACACGTTGAGGGTAGCAAATTAATATTTAAGTGAGAAAAAAAACTGTAAAAATCTGACAAATCACAGAGTAGGAAAATGAATGTGATAAACCATTGAACAGGTTTGATATTGAGAGGAAACTAAGATGGAGACAAATAATTGTTTGAAATGCCTTCAATTTTCAACCTCCAATAAATTAGCTTTGGTGTTTTTTACACCCATGTTTCTTTACTCTGATTTATTAGATATCGACAGTAGTTTAGTATTTACCTCACTAAAATATTAATCTGCCACCTTTATGTGTATACTTTTTTTAATTTTTACTTCTGATTAAGATTCTGGAAATACATATAGAGAGTGAAGACGACGAAACACTATACTGTACAATCATAGATAGAAACTTACACTGTTTCGTGTGCATTTTTTTAGTTGTAGCAATTACTGTTATTTCAAGGAAAGTTTTTGGTTTAGTAAAATGAATTGGGAATCATCGGGATCTAAACTGCACAGGAACCCATGCCTGGAAATGTTGTCAAACGCTGAGAAAGAGTACTTCCCCTATAACTTGTACAAAATACACTTTCTCTATAACTTGTTCAGAAGCTGACAAACTATCCATAATGAAGAAGAGCTCCCTTATGTTTATGACGTCATTTCTGGACATTGGTTTTTACGCGATTTTAATCCTGATGATGCGGCCTAACTACCCTAGAAATTTGTTGCATCATTTATACTACCTTCTGTTATACTTAACGTTTTTAAACTTGTATATTTCGACCGAAAGTAGATTAAAAACGTCAGTTTTTTTAAAAAAAAAGCTGCGAAAATAAGTTTAATTATTAGTTTTGTTTTCCTCCACAATTTTTCTTGAAAGAGAAATTTTAAGTTTTCTGTGACTTTTATAAATTTAATGGTCCCTACATCGAGTTCCCAGCTATTTATTTGCGATAGACGGCATGTTAATCAATGCTTATCTCATGCCGTCATTGGAAATAATTTATGCTGTATATGTATTTATTACAGCACTTTTATATAAATAATTGCGGCTCAATGCTACACAATTTTTACAGCATTGTCTTTCCGTATTCTAATGGCTCATCAGCGTATTTTGATAATTGTCTTATTCATCCTTCTTGGATGTTAAATTCTCATTGTTTTTGTTCTTAAAATTTTTTTTATCGCATAATGTCACTCAACAGTACTTCTAAGAAGTAAAGGAACTGTTTTAGAAGATTAGTAAATAAATTTAAAATTCTAAAAAAATTCATAGATATTTCCTAAAAATCAAAATACAATAAAATGATGCATTGAATAATTTGGAGTAAGTAATTTTAGATTTGCATTTGTCTCCTTTTAGAGTTTTTAAAATATTCTTTAATTTTTGTTTTAACTGAGAAAACCCGATTCGGATGATGCTGTTAAAATCTAAGATAAATTACGCTAAAACTTATTCTAAGATGTTCATCAATACACTAAACGAACTACGAAACTAACTTTCTAAAACTGCACATAAAGGAATCGCATTTTTATAATTCTATGAGAAAAATTCGATTAAATTTTACCCAATGAAAATGCTTCAGCAATTTTTATTTACATTGCGAAAAATTTTGGATCAAATAACGGTAAAAGGTACTAGCAGCCTAAGTGTAGTAACCCTAAAATTCTTTTTTATCTCATTATTTATAGTATTTTTACACTAAGATACTGCAAAATTTACGACATATCAACTGTTTCACTCAGTTAAATTTTGCGTTAAAAACGGATAATACTGTGAAAAGCACTAGCACCTTGTGTGCCGGTACTTTTGCAACAATGTATACTTTTAATATGTTTAAAAAGCAAAAACGGAAAAATATTTTGTATTTTTTCTACCTTACACTGCTATCATGGATATATATAATCTCGGTACATTCAGCAAAATAAAATTAATATTCAATATCATAATACTTAAGCTCTAAATGCTTTTTCATAATTTTCTTTCATTTTGATTATTTTTACATAATTTAACAAAACCTACACATTATATTTATCATGCTATAGAACTATTATCATAATGAAGTTTTCTCCAATATCAAATAATGCACATAACATACAACATATAAATATGAAATCAGTATGGTAAATGTATACTAAAGATTTATATATGTTCTCCCCAGGGAACAATTTATGGAGTATCCATTTTATGCGAGAATTATACTTTCTTACTTATTGGAGATCAGAAGAATAACCCCTTTCAGTCATGGTTCATTATCTCCTTTTTATTTTTTGCCCCTCGTGCTCGTTAATCAGGACAACTGGTTTGGAAAAGGCGTAACAAATCTAACAGCCTGTTACAATCCTTTTGATGTGAGGGAATAAAGGATAAGGGAAAATAGAAAGGATCTAGTTACTGGAATATTTATCGTTTGCCACATCAAGTGGTACTTTTTTCCTCGTAAAATAAGATTCCTCGTCCAGACACCGAAACAGATAAGCTTCTCATTTAAAAATATTAAGGCTGTTTTCTCTTATTTTTTAAAGTTTAGGACTATAATAGGACTTCTTAAAATAGAGTACCTCGATAAGAAAGTAAAGTCATAAAATAAGACTTTTCGTCTAGACGCTGGAACTAAAATGCGCTTTATCTTTTTTAAAATATTAAAGCTTTTTCTTAATTTTAAAATATACAACTGCATAATAGGACTTTTTAAAATATAGAACTTATATATTTAAATAGAGGAAGTCAATATTTCGTTGTAAAGAGCACATCAATTTGTACATCTCTGGACAGAAAATCTTATTTTACGTTTTGACTTTCATTACTATTAACTCTGGTATTTCATACTCCTCACATAAGCATGGGACATTTTTAAATTAAAGTACGTCTATACAAAGATGTTAAAAACGTAGAATAATGATTTTTTATACACGCAGGAACTGTTCCTGTATGTAAGCAAATAGTATTATTCTAGGGTAAACTAACCAGTGAAGGAAAACTTAAGCTTCGCTTGCCTTTTAAAAAATCATATTAATTTCAAAATTCGTAATTTTAGTTAAATGACAGTGTCAATATATTTGTTACTAATTGCAAATTATGTATAAAAAAAAATTAGAGAACTTACATAATATTGTTTTAAAGTTTTGGAGGTTCGAATAACAAGTAGTAAGAAGACCAAGTGAAGGAACAACTCTTACCAGTGAATGAACACCCAGTAAAGGAACACTTAAATTTGGTTATTTTTTAATACTCTTTATGCATTTATACGCCATACAAATATTTAAAAACAAGCCTATTCTTGAAATTATAACCTATAAATACTTGGAAAATGTTAACATTTTTTTGAATCATGAATTGAAGATTAAAGTGTCAACATATTAACACATACTGTTCATTCACTAGGAAATCTATGCCCAGTGAAGGAACATGCCTGTTCCCTCACTGGTTAGAAGCTGTTTTTTGTATTTTTAACATACTTTTGATGCGGAACATNTATTCTTGAAATTATAGCCTATAAATACTTGGAAAATGTTAACTTTTTTTTTGTAATCATGAATTGAAAATTAAAGTGTCAACAAAAGTGTTCATTCACTAGGAAATCTATGCCCAGTGAAGGAACATGCCTGTTCCCTCACTGATTAGAAGTTGTTTTTCGTATTTTTAACATACTTTTGATGCGGAACGTCACTAAAAGTACAAGAAAATTAAAGTTTATCTTTTATTTTCATTAACTTAGAAAAAAAACAGTAAAGGAACACTTGTTCCTTCACTGGTTTTTCATCGTTTGGTGATCCAGTGAATAAACAGCCTCTTATCTCAGTACTTTATTATGCTATGATGCTTAAAAAAAATAAAACGTAAGTTCAATAACTATATTTTGAATTCTCTTTTTCACAGTGAGAAAAATAAAACTATTACATGCAATTAATTCCATTTCAAACATGTAAACACAAACACTCACCTTATAATTTTTTCAAAGAAACAAGGTGTTGCAGAGATTTTAACAAATTCAAAATTTTTTCAGAGAAGTCTATTTGACCAGGTAATCCAAAACATTGCTAGATGAGCAGTAAGCTATTGTTACCAATCAATCTAAAGAAAAATTTTCAAATTCTTATTCTTGATCAATATAGATGAAATGTTCCTTCAC